CCCTCATGATACGAGACTTTTATGGCGAAGAAGTAAATAGCCGCACGTGGAGCCCAGGTTACGCGAGCCAGAAGATGTCGCTCGCACAATTAGGAATAAAGGTAACGCGAATCTACCCAATTTCGATGGCGGTTTTGTTAAATTTTAGAAACGAAGACAATGGAACGTTTTGTCCTCTAAGTACGCTTATCGAGGGGTGTTAAGATTAAAAGTGTTAACCCTAACGGCTGCGATCTTCCAGGCCGGGTTCCTTGGGAGCGGGGAGAGAGGTCATTGGAAGGGCAAAGTGGTATGAGGAGTTTGTTCTGTACAGTAGGATTGAAGAATAGAAAGTAGGAGATTTGACTTGCATTGGCAGGCATCCAACTGCGAACACGTGAAATCGTCAATGGCGCTGACAACGCATCTGCCGCTTTGATTCTGCTTCAAGCCAGAACACGTGTGTTCCGTTCTACCCTTGAGTTTCGCAGCAGCCTTTATCCTAGCCAAGCGAGACTTTGATGGTTACTTCTGACTTACTTAAAATTATCACTCGGGGTCCGTCAATGTTGTTCTTGTTCAAAAACCTTAATTCAAGCGATCTGCTTGTTCCTATTTCTCGTGAGTTTCTTCTTCGGGGTGCAGAAGGTGCTACCTCCCAGCCTTCAAATGCTTTTTTCAGTGCCAATCCTTAAGACAAGTCACCGAAGAGCACGACAGACAGATACACTGCAAAATGGCGATTCACGACTATATGATTTGCTTAACATTTGACCCATAAATACTTATCCGTTTACTGCTAACTGAGGTTGCTTAGTTGGAAGTTAGATGTCGTTGCGGTTCAGGTTAATCGCCGCCGAGCTCCGCATGCAGATAAGTAGTTTATGAGATATGAATAAAATTCAGCAAGGACGGCCATAAGTAGGAGTGCGGCAAGTAAAAAAAAACTGCTCCAGTGAAATTTATCAGGAGTTTTGCAACTTTACGGAAATATCTCTTTCCAACCATAGCGGAGAAGCGAGACCTAGGAGACAGTTAGGAATGAGGAGGGGCGATCATTGCGACGTTTTTCATTCTCCTGAGGTCTCAGACGCCCCGACGGACGACAAACAGAGCGTGGATGACTGCATGCTGCTAAGTGACCGTGGGCCACACCAACTGTGGGGCTTGTAGAAAGGTGCTTTTGTGCACACAACGCAGGTTTC